CGGCGGGAAGTTTGATCGAATCGTCGTGGAAAAATGATCGCGGCTTATCGGGAAAGCCGGGGGAAATTCAAGAGACGGATTTATCCGCGGTGTAGCTTGCCGTCTCGATCGATATCCATCTTACATTAGATTTAGATTTCCACATCAGTCACCTAGTGTGTCTCGCCTTATCGCTGTCAACGTACGATCGATTGGTTCTCGAACGATCACAATTAGTTGTCGCAGTCGATGTTTTTGTCTCTTCCGCGGGGGAAGTATAACGCGGGTAAGTATATAGATAGGGCTACACCTCACCGGCTCTTTTCATTTTGAAATATGTTATAAAGGATGAAGTTCTGAGTGACTTCCTGATACAACTATATGCGGGTCGCTTATAGTTTTCGAGATATTTGATTGTAAAGTTTTGGAATTTTGATTATCCTGGAATTAAGTTCCAGATATCATAAACTGACTTACAGTACAATCCAAATAGTTAATCCAAACATCCAGTGTATACATAGGAATATAAGAAACAGTATATATAAGCGGGAGGGGGGCTCCGCCCCTCCAAAAAAATCCTAATCTAACCTAACTTATTGCATCTTTATATATTGTTGGGCGACGTTGAAAAGATCTCCTTAAAAGCCATAACACCTAATTGTATGCAGATATTACAATAAGTTAAGTCGAGTCAGGTGATGGATCTTAAGAGAACTTTTTTCAACAATGTCCAAAAATATATAAAGATGCAATAAGTTAGGTTAGGTTAGGATTTTGTTTGGGGAGGGGGTGCGGGGCCCCTCTCCCGCTTACATGTACTGTTTCCTATATTTAAAGTGAATGAAAACTGCTACTGTCTACTTACCCCCCCATCTACGACCCCCATATAATTGTATTAGGGAAAAGTCACTCAGAATTTCGTCCTTCATAACTTATTTCAAAATGAAAAAAATCGGTGAGGTGTACACCCTTTTCTATATATTCACCATAACGCGCTTTAGAAAGAGGCGCATTAGCAATTTAGGCGCGCTCGCGATTTAGCGATTAGCTGCGGTCCATGGACGCGATATAGTCTGACAGACGAGCTGCCGATGTCTCATCCGTCGAGATATTCGCTATAGAAAGAGAGAGAAAGGGAGCGAGGAAGCGTAGAGTCGTTCGTTTTTGCCTGTTCGTTCCTCCACGTAGGATGCATCGTGCGTGAACGTCTTAGCAAGCGAAGCAGCTTATGATATACGAGTCGCGCGCGCGTGCAAGGAAGCAAAAGAGAGGAAAAAGAAAGGAAAAGAGAAAGACGAAAGGAACGAAACTAGAACATTTTTCGGAAAAAGCACAGCCGTAAAACGATTCGAGGCTCGATGGCCATGTAACGTTGTTGTCTTGCAGGGAAGAGGAGCTCACCACTAACTCTAGCAGGGAGACCGTCCTATCCGACGCCGCCACTGTCAACCATACGCACGATACCGATAATCTGTCTGCCGATAATCCTAAACAAACGAGACGTTAGCAATCAGCATATATTGTGAAAAAAAGAACGAGCGCGAGAGGAGAGAGAGAGAGAGAGAGAGAGAGAGAGAGAGAGAGAGAGAGAGGAAAAGATAAATGTCGTTGAAACAACACTGAGCGCTTAGCCGGACCTAGACATTCGCTACGTTCAGCGGAGAAAGTTGCTTTTAAACTGTTGTAAAATTCGCGAGTCTGATTTGTGCACGCTCTTGGATTCAGCCAAATTTAAGAGCATACGCCAATTAGACTCACGAATTTTACGGCGGTTGCGAGAAGCGACTCTCTCTCTCTCTCTCTCTCTCTCTCTCTCTCTCCCTCTCTCTCTCTCTCTCCCTCTCTCTCTCTCTCTGCCGAACGCAAGCGTTGGCTACGTTCAACAGAGAGAAAGCTGCTTTTTAACTGTTGTAACATTCGTAAATCTGATCTGTGCGTGCTTTTGGATCCAGTCAAATTTAAGAGCACACACCGGTTAGATCCGCGAATTTTACAACGGCGGCTCTCTCTGCCGAACGCAAGCGTTGGCTACGTTCAACAGAGAGAAAGCTGCTTTTTAACTGTTGTAACATTCGTAAATCTGATCTGTGCGTGCTTTTGGATCCAGTCAAATTTAAGAGCACACACCGGTTAGATCCGCGAATTTTACGACGGCGGCTCTTTCTGCCGAACGCAAGCGTTCACCTAGACCAGTCGTTCACGGATGGGAAGAGAGCCGCGCTTAGCTCGATAGAGAACTGTGAGGCACCTGTCAATCGACACGCGCGCATTGCGTACGCACACGCACGCACACGCACACACACACACACGCACACACACACACACGCGCGCGCGCGCGCGTTACGTGTGGGTACGTATGTGCATCGTATATGCGCGCTACTTCCGATCCTCGCGTGACCAAGAGCGCTCATTAGTATATTGCGTAATGCATACTACGTACCACATATTACGAATATTTCGGCATCACCGAGTAACACCGTATAGACTGTCTGTGTTGTGAAATAAATCTGTTTCCTTACTC